CCTCCTCTCAGGCAGTTGTAGAGGGCGATCAGGTCTCCCCTCAGCCTCCTCTGCTCCAGACTAAATAACCCCAGTTCCCTCAGCCGCTCCTCGTAAGCCTTGTGCTCCAGCCCCCTCCCCAGCTTGGTTGCTCTCCTCTGGACATGCTCCAGCAACGCAACATCCTTCTTGTAGTGAGGGGCCCAAAACTGAACACAGTATTTGAGGTGTGGCCTCACCAGCACCAAGTACAGGGGCACGATCACTTCCCTACTCCTGCTGGTCATACTATTTCTGATACAGGCCAGGATGCCATTGGCATTCTTGGCTACCTGGGCATCAGATGTCCAGAGACTTGGGCTCTGCCAAAGGGACAGCAAAGCCCATGCTTTGGGACCCTTTTGTACGTACATGCTACGCGTGTCCTGCTTGGAAAGCCAACTTTTCATTTTGCTGGTGAGGCCTCCAGAAACTTGTGCCTTCCATCCTCGTTGGATGGTTTTGTAGATGTGATGCCCTTTCTTTGCTGCTGGAAAGACACCATCATGCTGCTCTAAGGAAATGGGGTGGCATTTCACGGAATCATTGTTCCCCCCGGGAGGCCTCCGTCTGCCCTCCTGCGAGGCTGCTGCCAAGGAGCCGTACCTCTCCCTGCTTTTTCCAAATGCACCTTGGGGCTCCCTGAGTTGCAGACAGCGAAGCTGGGTGTATGCCAAAACAACACTGGAGGAGGTGGAGATGTTATGAAGGAGGAACTCTGTTTCAGTTGGCAGGATGCAGACTGGAGACTGGGAGGGGATTCCTCACGTGTGTCTGCAGAGGCAGGGTGTCACCACGTCTCCGACAGGCTCTACTTGATGCTCTGTGAGCAAGTGATTGAAGAGAGTCTTGATCTGCACACGCGTCTGTGTCATGCATTTGGGCTATGGTTGCTAGCTGCCATCACCAGTTCTTAGATCCCGTGACTTTGGGGACAGAGGACAAGTATGTCTGGGAAAGCAAAGTCCTCGGTGACCCGGTTTCACATGCCGTTGTGGAACAGCTCTGCCATCCTGTCCTGGAAAGCCAACATCTCAGTTTCACTGTATGAGTTGTGTAGGGTCTTGATGAGCAGCTGGTCCTGGTTGTTGTGCCTCTTGTGCCAAAATAAACCCATTGAAAGTCCGTACTGAGCTGGCCTGACTTGGGTCTTTCTGATCTCTGCAGCTCCTGATCACCAGCATGTTCCGAGCGGAGTGTGGGTCATTGTGGGTCTCCTCAACTTCATTGCCTATACGTTAGGTAAGACTTTATCTCGTTGGTTGTGGGGGTTTGCGCACTTCGTCTGTTCCTGCGGCGGCTGCATGTTGTCTTATCTCCGAGCCCGATGAGAAATCTTCGATTCTGGGCTTCTGCCGTGCACTAATCCAATTGCTGCTCAAGCAGCTTCTGGGAGCTGCTTTGCAAAGTGGATAGGAAGAAGTTGTCCCAGAGCAGCTGATGTGAGAGGAGGATGCTGGAACTGACTTAGAGACAAATTGTGAAATTCTGTCTTCAGTCTGCTTTAAATAATTGTAATTTCATCAGACTTCACTGAATTTTTCAGTCGCGGGTAGAGCAGGGGGCTGGGAAGTGCACTCCTCATTAGAGGATGGAAGTAGCAAAAGCTGCTGTTCCCTGGCTGCACACACTTTGTCATCTGCAAACTGGCCCATTGCTTTGCGTGGAGGTGCCCAGCAAGACTCCCATTTCTCCTTGTTCTCTTCCCAGATGGCGTGGATGGGAAACAGGCTCGCCGGACCAACTCCAGCACGCCTCTGGGAGAGCTCTTTGATCATGGCCTGGACAGCTGGGCATGCGTGTACTTTGTCGTGACAGTCTACTCCACCTTTGGACGGGGCTCCACGGGTGTCAGCGTCTTCGTTCTCTACCTCCTCTTATGGGTGGTCTTGTTTTCGTTCATCCTCTCCCACTGGGAGAAGTATAACACAGGGATCCTCTTCCTGCCCTGGGGATATGACATCAGCCAGGTGGTGAGTACGCATCGCAGCCGCTGTGCGGCTTCAGCAGAAGCTCAGTAAGCTTCTGGCATGCCTGGGGTGCAGCGGTGCCCACCGAGGTGTGTGAGGGATGTGTGCAGCTCTGCTACGTGTCCAAAGCCTTGTAAATTGGTTGCTTCAACGCTCTCTGGAGGTGGGTGTCTTCAGCCCGTCTCCAGGCGTTGTGGAGGAGGGGACCTTTCCAAGACAGCTTGCATGACTTGGAGCTGCAGTTGCTTCAATGAGCCAGGGTTGTGTGGCACTAGAGATCGACTGCTCAAAACCATTAAATCCAAGGAGGTTTGTGCGGTGCGGTTTTTATTTTGTTCCGAGTAGCTATTGTATATGGACTTTGCAAAAACTCTGCATGTTAATCACTATGCCTGGAGCAAAAGTTCCTGGGGAGGTGCCCCTCTGTACCGTGGTAGCTGGGCAGTCAATGTCAAGACTGTTGGTGATGGACCCTTTGGTCCATGGTTGGCATGTCTGCCTCTCATTAAGGGCTTCTCTGCTGGAAGCTCTTTCTGAAGAGCCCACCATAACTGGGAGCAGGCTCTGGATGATACAGTTCACCTTCACTGCTCCTTTATCTTCTGCCTTATCAGTTGCTGGGTAGGAAATCCAACAAGTTGAAAGGAGAGTAATCATCTCTGCTAGTAGAAGGATCATAGAACCCCAGGTTAGAAGGGACCTCCAGGATCATCTGGTCCAACCTCTCTGGGCAAGAGCCCAGTCCAGACAAGATGGCCCAGCACCCTGTCCAGCTGAGCCTTGACAGTCTCCAATGTGGAGGAGTCAACCCCTCCCCTGGGGAGATTATTCCATGGGTGACTGTTCTCATGGGGAAAAATTTCCCTCTCCTGTCCAATGGGAATCTCCCCCAGAGCAACTTGTGTCCATGCCCCCTTGTCCTCTCCATGGGACTGCTTGTGACAAGGGAGTCTCCATCTTCCTTGTAGCCACCCCTTAGGTACTGGGACATGGGGATGAGATCCCCTCGGAGCCTCCTGTGCTCCAGGCTGAACAAACCCAGCTCTCCCAGCCCATCCCCATATGGCTGAGAGCGGTTTCCCAGCCCTTGGATCCCCTTGGTGGCCCTGCTCTGGGCCCCTCCAGCCTGCCCACAGCTTTTTTGTACAGTGGGGACCAGAACTGCACCCAGGATTCCAGGTGTGGCCTGACCAGCGCTGAGCAGAGTGGGATGAGGACTCCTTTACCTCTGCTGGTGATGCCCTTGGTGATGCCCCCCAGCATCCTGTTGGCCACCTTGGCTGCAGCAGCACCCTGCTCACTCCTATGGAGGTTTTTGGCCACCAGGACCCCAGGTCCCTTCCCACAGAGCTGCTCTCCAGCCGGGGGTATCCCAGTCTGTGCTGCCCTCCTGGATTGTGTTTTCCCAGGTGCAAGACCTTACACTTGTCCGTGTTGAACTTCCTAAGGTTCTTGCTAGCCCACTCTTCCAGCCTCTCCAGATCTTCCTGCAGGGGGGTTCTCTCTTCTGGAGCATCCACTTCCCCACTCAGTTTGGTGTCATCTGCAAACTTCATCAGGCCACACTTGATCCCGTTGTCCAGATCACTTACAAAGATACTGAATAATGCTGGGCCCCATATCAGTCCCTGGGGGACTCCACTTGTGGTGGGTCGCCAGGTAGACAACGAGCTGTTCACCACCAGCCTTCACCTCCTCCTTTAGAAGGTGACTGTAGCTGGTCTCCTCCAACTCTGCTCTGACCTCTTTCTCCAGAAGCATTGCTTAACCCTAATGCTTTCAGACCTCTGCCTCTTGCAGAGAGGCCGGGGGAGGAGGGCCAAGCTGCCCCGCAGTGTGCTTCACCCCGCTGCAGGGTAATTACTAAAACTGAAATAGCCGTAATAAAAAAATACAGCCCTGATAGAAAA